TAAACCACTCTATGTGGGGATGCCTTTGAAGGAAACCTGGAACCACAGACTGGATGCAGAGTCTAGTGGCAAGTTTCTGTTGGCTATCCTCATTGGAGACAAATGACACCAGCCCTGACTCAGCTTCACTAGCTCCCTGCTGTTTTATAAGCCACACTTGAAGAGTTTGTTTTAACATATAAATCCCTTGTAACCTTAGGACTTGCCTACCTAAAGGAATGATTCCCCTATTATATCACTGACTGGGAGCTCTGGTCATCATCTAAGGGTCTGCTGATGGTGCTGGCCAGGGAGGGGGTCTGAATGGAACCTCGTCTTCTCTTTGTGCTAGGAATTTCCTTCCACCTTGATTCATGCACTTCATCCTTGTTGATTCTTTTAATAATTTGAACACATATTTTTAAAAGCTGGCATTTCCTTCCTGAAATGCTTTTTATGTTAGGTATTGATGCCTGTTTTAATAATGAGCCATGGTGGTTTTATTGTCTCAACTCAAGGTTTTATTGCTATTTATTGCAGTAAGCTGCCATGGGCTAGCTTTGTTAGGAATATGATACACACTTAAATTTTAGCTCAGAATGTATGCTATTTAAGATTTTTTTTAAAAAAAAATCCCAGACATAATGGGATTTGTGGATCAGAAAACTGCTCTTTGTCCTCTCTCGCAAAGGGTTATCTGCTTTAGTGGCCAATTCTGCTAGCAGTGACTTGCTGCACACCACCTACTTGAACCCTTAAACTTCCTTAACTGGGCATGGTCTTTTTGGTAGTTGGGCTGACAGGCCATGGTCTTCTTTCCAGCACCAATGGTTGGAAATATTCAGAGGGGGTGATGGCAAGCAAACCTTCCTTATCTTTCCTGCTGGCCTAGCTATAACACAATTCTTTATGGGTATGTTTAAATCTATTAATAAAATAGACAGGCTGCCTTCAGCATGTGCCTGGTAAACTCATAAATAAGTAAAAAGCATCGCTTGCCTTGATTTTCTAATTAGAAGTCATGTCTTCCAGAAATGTTTGATTACCAATATTTCTCATATTAAAAGCACTGGTAGGAATAGTACCTCAAGGGACCCTTGTAGGCACTGAGGAAAAAAATAGATTACTGGCACTACTGTCATATTGTAATACTGTGATATTTTCTCAGAATTCCCAAACAGATATGCTTATAATACTAGCAATTTGTTAGGCACTAGACCCCCCAAGTTCACTGGTTCTAGGAACAACCACACTCTTGTGCTCAGCTTTCACTTGCTTTGAAGGAAGGCACTCTGCCTTCAGTCCAGCCAGAATTAGTACCATTTTAAATTTTAATTCCCTATTTCAGTGTCTTAATTTCCTACATTCTTTATGAAGGTAGGCTAGCATAATGAGGTAGAACTACTCCTAATTTCTCACACATGTGCTATCTTACCTATGCAATGATAAAAGGTCATCCCAGCTTTGCATGAAAGTTAATTCTGTATTGTGAATTATTGGGATGTTATAGTTCTTAGTGTCACAAGAATTTGTAGATGGGAGGACTAAGGAAGGATGTAAGACCACCAGATGAAATTGGCAAACAAGGGTATAGCATGCTTGTTGACAAGTTTTGTTGTCAAGACACATCCACTGTGTTGTGTTGAAAATTTAAAAGTCCTGAAAAAGCAACGCCTTCTCAACCTGGTATCCCCCAAACATATTCTTACAATTCCCATCATTCCCAGCCAGCATTGGGGCAGGCTGATTGAGCTTGTCTCTAATAAGATCCAGATGAGAAAAAAACACTCCTAGAAGTTAGAAAAGCAGTCTGTCTTTCTGAACCATGCAGAAGAAGCAGAGGCTCCCATCCAGGCCATGGAAGGACTCTCTTCCCTTCACTCCTGGCACTTTCTTTGTATTCATTGTAGGATTCTGCCATCTAGTGGTTCATCGATGTGACATTTAGCAACAAGATCAAAGCAAAGACATTTTCATTCTGGAGGTAAACCAAAACCAACACTCAGACAAACAGAGGAAGAATGCTATGAAACAGGAATTGGAAACCAATCTTGTGCTTCTAATATTGTCCCGGTGAGAATAAACCTGTGTTACTATTCTTGGCTTTGAAAAGGGATATATGAAGTAGCACATGCATATACTTTTGGGTAAAAGTTTATCCACCCTAAAAAAATAGAGCATTCAACTGCAGCTGTGGAGGTCCTGTAGCAGCATCCCTTCTATTCTCAGGAAAAGCTTCTCTTCATCCAAACTGGGTAGTGGTGGATCCAGTCAAAGGGAAAAAAATAAAGCAGTATGTGCATAGTTTTTTAAGCTTTATTTTTTTAAAAAATTAAGACATAAAAATATTAATGATGAATGAAATCTGTAGTAGCATGTTAAAAAAACAACAACAGAATGTCTAAATTAGACCTTACAATGTGTATGGAGAATAGCAAACTCATACCACTTCCCACCACCATCTTCCACATTCACACTGCAAAGTAACTTTCTCCAATAATCTCTTTGTGGAAGCCTCCTTAAGACAAAAATCAAATATTTCACCCAGCATTCCATCAGATTGCATGTCAGTATAATTCTGGTAAACAACAAGACCCAGAAGCACTAAATTCATGTTAAAAAATGGTAGACCACTCACAAGACCATTACTGCCATGACCCTCCTATGCAAGATGATCTGCCCTAATACCTTGCACCATGGCATTCCTCCCAGGAATTTTGACAGCAGCTGAATATCTGCTTGTGAAGAACAGAGGCATCTCTATATTCTCCATGTATCCAATTAAAATTTTCAGCTGATTTTTTCCCCCCAGTATCAACACTTCAAGAGAAGCCTGGGTGTTCAAACTGTGAATAGGCATTATCATCAGATAACAGATTGGGGATCACATGACTAAAAGCTCTTCTATTTTAAAAAAAAAAATCAACAGCATACAGAAAAATTGGGTATCCAACAAAGGGTTCCTATTATAAGTTTCTCCTTGGCATATTAATTTATCTGCAAGTGCCTGGGCATGAAAGGTGTAATCATTAGTAACTTACTTATTTATTCATTATTTATTTATTACAAGTACTTTTATACCACCCAGCTAACTTACAGCAATTTATAGTAAATATCAAAACCAACCAAAAAAAAAAATCAACAAAAACGGTACATTTAGAATATAGATAGCCACCCAATAGTAGAACACCAACAGACCTAACTTCCAAATTCCTGTTCCAAAACCAGTCTTGACTGCCTTGTAAAAGTGCTAACAGGGTCCAAGGATGCCTCTTGGTACTATAGCCCATTGCTGAGCCCTAGCACCACCATCACCTAACTCACCAGTTTGATTGCTCCTCCTCCACCATACTGACTAGAACCATCTACTAAGGAAGGAGCAGAATGACCACAAAATAGTGCCTCCAACTCCCATCCCCAGTAAGGCAGCCCAGTAAGATACCTTGAGAAGTCTAATAAGACCACTTCCGGAGAGCAATGGCAGATTGAATACAGCTCCATTTTTGCAGAGCCAACCCCCATGGTAATTAGAGGAGCTGACGATCAGACCAGCTCTTCAGAACCATCTCTGGACAAAGGACATGACTGGATCACCCACAGGTACTCCTTACAGAGGCTCCTTGTGAAGAGATTGCATTTTAGTGATCTCCAGCAGGTTGAGCACTCTGGGAGTCAAGGGAAACATTGAGCCCAAGCTGTGGTGCGGAGCCTTCAAAGGGACACTAGATTTGCTTTCAATTCATCTTTTAATTAACATCGGAAACTGCCTATTTGTGATTTACTTGGAATTAAAAACCTCCTGAAAGGCAAGTTGTTGCAAACTGGGAGAATTTCCTTCTATCTTGGAGGAAAGAAGATTAAAATAAGTTTAAATATCAAAAATATATTTTAACTTTTGGAAACAGCAAAAGGGAATTAAGAATGCTGACTGGGGACAGTTAAGAGGCCAGATAGCTTTTTTATGGATTGTTTTAAATGTTTAAGAAAATACAGTTAAGTGAACTTAGATTTAACTGTAAGAAAATCTGTCCTGGGAAAGTACTGGTTTTGAAAATAAACATACGATAAGACTGGGCTTTGAAGGTTAACTAGAGGGAATCAGAGAGCAATTAAAGGAAAAGATATCTTCCAACATAATGGAGGAACATTCCCTTTTCATAGAAAAATTTCTAGCTGTTTGGGATCAGCGTGTCCAGGAATTATTTCTAAAATTGGGTCTAACAGAGGCTTTAGAAGAAAAGATTTCATTGGATAAGGAAAGAAGAAAGGAATTTAAAGTGAATTTATCAGATCAGGTTTAAATAGTATAAATTTTGATCCTGGGTTAATATTGAATTTTGTTTTTCTGACCAGGACTGTAAGACAATGATTTACACCTGCAAAAGCTATTTATTTGGTTTAGTTTAAAATACACGTTATTATTACTGGTCTTTCTTATGTTTATGGGGAGAGATCTTTTTATGTTTTTATCTCTCAGAAAAAAATTAGAAGTTAAAATGCAAAATAGATTTGTTTATGCTTAATATACAGTATATAATTTATTATCACTAGTACTCTTAATATTTTTGCTGATTAGACTGATTAATGAATACTTTTTTATAATTTGGTTATTGTTTAGGGATGAGAAATGGGATGAAGAGGGTGTTTGTCTGTAATATTAGAGAAGGTGTTAAGTTACTGTTAATGCATATACTTGTTTGGAGGGACAAACATGTATATTTTTATATTTCTCTTTTCTCCTTTCTTTTTGTTTGTAGATTCTTTTAGTACTGTATTAGCTTTTATATATGTAAAAGTTTAATAAAAATACTATAAAAAAAAAGAAGTCTAATAAGACTAAGAAGGATGTATAGATAGTCCTTGTTTAGCAACCACAATTGGGACTGGCAACTCAGTTGTTAAGCAAAGAGGTCGCTAAGTGACACCACGACTGTGCTTATGATTTTTACTTCGCCTTTCCTTTGCTTTACAGACCTGTGAAAGTCGTAAATGTGAGAATTGGTCATAAAATTATTTTTTCATCACAGTGTAACTGTGAATGGTCACTAAATAAGGCAGTTGCTAAATGTATTATCTGTATAGGACTACCTGTATTCCTATCCTTTAAATAAAACATCCACCGGAGTGACTAGATGTGAGCTCTCCAGGGCTGAGAAGGAAAGGAGGAAGCTCAAAGAATCTTTGGCCTGGCATTCTGGAAACAAGAGATTCATACAGCTCTTAGAAACTTCGAGACTCTGCCCAACTGAATTCACTAATAAATAAATGCTAGAGTTTGGGTTTATTCAGTTTCTAGGATTCTCTATATTAGCCCCTTACCTTCTTCAGAGTAAACCTAGCTAATGATATTCATGAATCCTTTTTTTGCTGACTTTGTCACCAATGTTATTTCTGTCCCATCTACCCTGAATGCAGAGTGAATGGAATCCAGATAATCTGCTTCATCTAGGATCCTCTGAAGCTGGAAGAAGTTGGAAGACAGAGTAGTAGTGTCAAATAAGGCTGGATCACCACTGCCTTTTTCAAGGCTAGTACCATCAGAACTTCTCTCAAAGAAGCAATCAACACCTCTCAAATCCAAACACAACTTCTTCACAGACCAAAGCAGCCGAGAGAGGCATGAATCCAACTCAAAAGTCACAGCATTGCTACCACAGGGAATCTTAGCCACTTTTGCAGTTTCCACAAGCTCAGTGAGTACCAGATAACATTACAAGACACACTCCCAGTCATCATATTCCATCATATTGGCATCTATTTAAAATCTAAGATGGTAAATGCCCAGCTAGATTCAATACTTCAGTAAAAACTTTGGGTGATATATATAAATGCTGTTAGATAAATAAATCCACTTTAAAAAAAACCTGATCCTCTCCTTCCCCCTTAATGGTATCTTCAAGATAAAACAGGGATGGAAACCTGATGTTTCGTGCAGCCTTCTGTCCCCATGGCCAATGATGACAGACAGTGGGTAAGTACTGCACTTCAGAAGCAACATCTGAAAGCCTAGAAGTTGTCCACATATATAGCTGAGGCCCTTCCTAAGAAGATTTGGCTATGGTGGTCGTTATAGAACAGACAGACATTCATTCAAGTTGTAATTTAAAATAACTGAAAAAAACTTAAAACCACTTTTTATCTTAAAATAGTTTTAACTAGTGATGCTGGTGAAATTTCCTAACCAATATGGCAGTCTGAGCAGAATCTTGTTGATCCCAACATGAAGGGGAAGGAAGATAAGAAATCTGAGTTATATTTTCCAATTTCATCACTTGTTTCTTCATCCTCAGTTGTCTTCATGAAAGTTCAATCTGGAGAGTCTCTCCATATTTCCGGATCAGTTTGTCATGATTATGATCAACAGACCATTGCTTTGGGAGATGCTTGGGCTGCATAACATCCAAGAAGTGCTGGCGCCAACGTTTCTCCAGCTCCATGAGGGAATGTAAGCCCCCTTGAGCAAAACACTGGACCACTTTCAGGCCATGTGGCACATAGCTCTCGTTAAAAATCCTGAAAAAAAGATGAACAAAGGAGATATTCAGGAAAGCACAGACTTGAGGGATTTGTTTATTTATTTATATTTCAAATTTAGACACCACTCATCTCACGAGGAAGTGGCTCTGGGCGGTTTACAATAAAAACAGCAAATAAATATTAGTTAAAATAGAATAAAAATAGTATAAAAATTGAATAAATATTTCAAATTTAGACACCACTCATCTCACGAGGAAGTGGCTCTGGGCGGTTTACAATAAAAACAGCAAATAAATATTAGTTAAAATAGAATAAAAATAGTATAAAAATTGAATAAAACCAAATACATACATAAATAATAATCTTTTCCAAGATGCTGGTGGTCAAAAAGATATTAACATATGGGAGCATCTTCAATGTGCTAGCCACCCCCACGGTTGGTTGCCCTTTTTCTCGCCCCATGCCAGTTGGCAGAGCAAGGTCTTGACTGCTTTCCGGAAGGACAAGAGAGTAGGGACTGCTTTCCGGAAGGACAAGAATACCCTCGGAGGGAAGGGTATTCCATAGGGCAGGGGCCACAGCAGAGAAGGCTCTCCTTCTGGGCCCCGCCAGTCGACATTCTTTCATTGACGGGGTCCGCAGCATACCTCTTTGCTTGACCAGGTGGGACGGGTCAATATAATGTGATTTAATGGGATGCCAAACATTTATCATTTATTTATAGTTAATAAACCACTTCAAAAAGGGCTTTATAGTCTTGAGAACATTAGTAATAGACATTAGTGCTATTTACCAAGCAGTGAGGGGAAGTGGAGTGAAGGGAAAAGCATCACTAATAAAACACTAAGCATTTTCAAAAGGCCATCTTCCCATTAGGAAGGCCATGTCAAACCAATCTGATGTCAGATGAAAACAGACAGCCTCCTCTAATCTGGCACCTTTCAGATGCCACAGTGGCCAGAAATCTTGGAAGTACAGTTCCAACATATTTGGGGTATGCTTCTCCCAATAGAATTTTTTATATAGCTAAACAGCATGATCCACACACCAGAGGGAATTGTTAAGAAGACTGAAACCCAAATATTTATAAAGTAAAACAATCAGACAAACAAACAAAAACCTCTAGAAAAGGATTTCCTTGCAGGGAAATCCCCAAACAGCTCAATGAGACCCGAGCATGTTCAGGGGTCACAGAATGCTGGGGGTGCTAGAATATCAGAGAGCAGGAAAAATGGAGCAGAATGTCTTCAGAAGGGGTTTGGCTACCTAGCTCATTGGCTAGAACTAGCCACGCTGCAACATTTCTCATTGGTAGTCTATTAAAATGGAAGGGTTGGAGCAGTGTTCCTCAACCTTGGCAACTTTAAGATTGCCCCCATGCTGGCTGGGGAATTCTGGGAGTTGAAGTCCACACAGTTGCCAAGGTTGAGAAACACTGGGTTGGAGGGTATTCCTTTACTATTTAAAGATCTAAGAGAGAAAGGCAAGTTCTTATTTGATGCCACATGTGGAAATCATGATCCCTTTCTTATCCTCTTCATGGTCTGAACCTAACCTTTAACTTCAGATTAAGCTTCTCTCTCTTTCCTGGGAACTCCACTCATCACTTCAGGCCAAATCCTAAAACAAATTCCTCCAAGCCAGACCCTGCTGCCCTTCCCACTAGCACTCTCCAAAATTGGGTGATGGGGTCCAGTAAGCAGAAACCTGAAAGGAACTGCAAACAAGCAGGCAAAAATTGTGTCTCTTAATCTAAGCCACTGTACCTGGTTTCCAGTCCAGCTGCTTCCTGCACCATCTCTGGGGAAACTGTGCCAGAGGCAAAGTAATCCCTGATCAGTTGCAGGAGCTCCTCTTTCCTGGCAGCAGGGAGGCTGTCTGCGTTCACCAGAGCTCTAGCAGCCGAACGGACTTGTCTGCGGGTGGGATCTTCAAGCAAGCGAACGCCCTCCTCACAACCGATCGGGGCGCCAAATTCCTCAGCCAGTTGTTGCTTGAGCTGATTGTCGTGGTAATTAGAGAGCGCATGGCATGCAGTGCAGAGAAGGAGCACATCGTGGGAATTGTGGTCTTTCATCTGGATGGGAAAGTGTTTCCGGTATTCGTGAGGCACAACGTTCTTTCTGTTGAGGAAACAGTAGCGCTTGAGAGTGGATCATCAATAGTGCCACTGAGCTTGCAGCCACTCTTGTACCATGAGGTCCATCACATACTCCCTTAAGCTGGAGAAGCTGCCACTGAACTCAGCAGGGCTCACTTCAGAGTAATCAGAGAGGATTTCGCCATTTTGTTAATTAAGACTCTACTCATTTTCCTGTGTTTGGTCAGCATGCATGCTCTATTGTCAGCTTTTAGTCTTTCTAGCTCCCTTAGTTATTTTAGCTATAACAAGATGAGAGATACATGGCTTTTTTTCTTAATGTAATGGCAGAAGAATGTTATACTGGAGTTGCCAAATGACCCTACAATAGTCTGTTCTGTTCCTGTGCTTCTCACAGCAGACTGATTTGCATTAATTACTAACTGAAGCTTTGCAGGGCATGGATATAAACATGATTACTTGTGAGCTACTACAAAACAAATCATGGTGAAAAGACAGGTGGGAAAAACTAGCAGACCACCTTGATGCTTGTACCATAGCCTCTTTTCCTTCCTATTTAAGCTCTGATACTCCACTTTTACTCTTTTACAGAAACAAATTTTCTTTCCTGTCTTCCGCTGAGGTCCCCAGTTCATAATTCTTCTCAGCCACAAATATACAAGTTGATGCAAAGCAAGCGACCCAATTCTCTCCAACTCAGCTTCATAACTGCAATCTAGACTGATGTAGCTGAACCTAGGATGTTAGAGGTCCAGATCACAGTAAATGTTCTGCGGCGATGTGAAACAGTCCAGGGTGCTGTGTAACCCCTACAGCATACAAATGGTTTATTACAACTTGGGTGGTACAACATTAGTGCAGGAAAGGATATGTTTAGAAGATCAACATGCGTCAGGAGAGAGAATCTTGATGGCTGCTCTATAGCTAAGGAACATGTTTCTTTGGAGTCATACTGTTATCAGTTTGGCTTTTAATAAATGCAGTTAAACAAATGGTCTCATAGTGTTCATTATCTTAATGTATTGTTATCTATAGTCCATTATTCTTAGACTGAGCCAAATCCCAAAATGCTAGGGAATTCCTGGAAGCGTGGTATTCAGACAAATCAGCCATCAATAGACACATAAACCACATTTACACACCATTCAAAAGAGACAATAAAAATCCTAGGAAGGAAACAAAAAGACTTTAACACATCCCCTCTAGCAGCCCACATTCAGAAAGGCAGGGATCAGCACCAGACAAACAATATGTACTCTAATCAAGAAACCACCAGAGTGGAAACTACACCCACCAAAACTGGCAGGGCAAGTTAGTGCATATAAACAGGCAGCAAACCCCACCCTCACTCACACTGAGAATGTTACCTAGTTGGGTAATGAAACTTCTGCAAGTAAACAACCAAGCTCAGAGAGTACCAAGAACTCCACTGTTCACCTATCAGTTTAATTTATACTTCTTTCCACTAAAAACAAGTGCCCAAGACAGTTAATGACATAAGCAAACAATTAAAAATAATTAATGGCAATACTTACACCCCAAGATATGCGAAGAGAACACAGCAGTTTGTAAACAATACAAGTTTGTGGAACTGGTAAATTTTGTAGACATGCAATACACTTATCATCCTATGGCACTTTGATTACAGTAACACATATGAAGTTCAGATATACAAAAGTTGATATTGTATGGTCTTGGTTATTTATGGCACATTAAAAAATAATTGATATTCCAGCCACTGAAATACTCAGGGCTGTATCTATGTACAGTATATTTACAGAGACATCCATACATGCTCATTGAATTTAATGCTTTTCTTATTTCTTAAACACAATACAGTGGGGTGGGAACCCTGGGGCCCTCTAGTATCAGTCAGATAGAACTGCCTTCTGAACAACTCACCGAATATAAGATTCTTTTTTGCCACACACAACACACAGATTTTCTTTGACTGTCAAGTAATAATCCACGGTTGATTCAGGGCGTCCAGCGGGCTCAAACTGTAACCTCACAGTAAATGGCTCCATGCTTACCAATTCTGAAATAACACACACACAAAAAAGAGGATATTAATGCCTGTCCCCTGATGCTTTCAGAGACTGTGGCCCTCCAGATGTTGCTGATCTGCAATGCTCAAAGTCCCTCCCCACTGGCCTGCAGGCTAGGGCACTGTGAGTTCTAGATCAGCAACATCTGGGGGACCACAAACTCTCCTGCTCTGGATAAATAATAATTAATACATATAATTGAACTTCACCATAAGAGGCTTTGGGGTGTAAAACGAGTTTTGCTAATTTTCCATGGTAATAACTTCCACATTTGTAGCCCTATCTCTTTTGTCCACCTTAGGTCTATGGGTGATTCAGCTGCCCATGTTTCTCCTCTCTTTTTTCAAAAAGACTGAGATAATGAACCCCATTTTAGGTGATAGAATGAAAAAGGTAGATGGGCATAGGCATCCTGTGGCCAGAAGGCAGTTATTAACACTAGAAAGAACCTCAGCCTGAGTGAAACAGATGGAATGAACATCCTGACTCCATCAAAGGACTATACCCAAATGTGCTCCTAATATAAAAGCTACATTTGGTTTAAATCGCTTTTTTAAATCTAAAATTAATCTCCACTTTTGTTGTCTTTAAAAACAAATCAGCCAGGCCAGGAGTCTACATGCTTTGCCCTTGGGGCAGGGGAATGGGGATGAACCAACATTTCTGTGTTCCAGAAAGCCTGGTACAGTATGTGTTAATATTTGCAACACCTACCATGAACTCACATACACTCTTCGCTTTTCCATCTCAAGACTTACTTTAAGCTGCAAACCATGTTGGTAAAACACCTGGCCTAATTTCTGTGCTTCTCTGCTCGTTTCCTCATCCTCTGATTTTTGTATTGTCTTGCTTCCTGAAGAGTCCTGAAGCCCTTGAAAGCCAGCATACTTTTTATGTCATTTAGTTCAGGGTTCCTCAACCTCAGCAACTTTAAGATGGGTGGACTTCAACTCCCAGAATTCCCACGCTGGCTGGGGGATTTTGGGGGTTGAAGTTCA